AATATTCACCATCACAAACACTTAATCAAATTATATATACACCCCTCGCTGTTTCTGTTTTTATCTTCCTTCAATGTCATCGTAGTATATTTTTAAATATGACAGAATGTGTTTAAATATGGTGGATATTATCTGAACGTTGTTGAAGATTGTGATTATTTGCATTTGTGATGAAACTCGGAATGGTTTAATCAAAACTCTCATGTGAGCATAAATTATTTGTGAATAAACATAATATTAACATGAAGAAAGTGTTGCAAAATCAACGGTGTGTGGTGTGTGAACCAACGGCGTTTATCAGCACTTCATAAATTCCAGTCTGCTTTTGTCAATCGTACTACTGCCAAATTAATCAGTGAATTCTCATGTTGTTGAACAGTACAATTTTCCAACACATGAAGCTCTGTTATCTCAGAGGCTTTCGGGGATTTATACACCCTCCCAATTGTGTGATTGTCTATTCCTATATTGTGAAGCACAATGCTGACAGCAAGTGGCATAAAATTCAGTGTATTTCGGCACCATTTTGATATTCTTTTGTGGTTTATAGTGAGTTTTCAACTGTGGTTTTGCCTTCTTTCTGATCATAAGGTACCAGTCTTGTCTACTCATAAAAATGGGCCTTCTGTTGACCTTCACTGGAGACTTCGTATCACGAATCATTGGTCCGGTGACAGTTGCATTAAGCCAATATGGATCTTTTGACCACTTTATGTAAGACTGATCCCTCATCTTGCATGGTTTCGTCTTCAATGTGCTTCTTCACAGATTGTTAATATGACTGAAATGGGACTAATATCAATTAAAATGATCAGTCTTCCTCTTCGTTCAATGTTAAGTTTGTTGTACAGACATCTATTGAGTGACATAATGAGCAAGTGAGAATCAGCAAACATTTACCTGAACACGAATATTTCATCATTACATTTAAGAAAACAGTGTATGAAGTGGCTTCAGGAAATACTACAATAAACAGATATGCTTATTATAATAACTTCATTTTACTAACAGATTTTCGGCTAACTCGACCGTCTAACTTCGACTGTTGTTAGCACCACATCCCTGTCTTGGAATAGTTGTAGAATTATGGTCCACTATGATATTAGTACTGCTCTAGTAATAGACCTAATCACAGAATTGTAGATTTGTAACGATATAACTGCCTAATCTATAGGATCTTACGTGGAAGTCATATTATCTTCTACACCAAGTGATCGAGTCGTAACAATCACCAAGCTTCGGCTAGAGATTGAACAATGTACTTAATATGGGTAAAAGGTATATAACAACACTCAAGGATAGCCACGCCTGCAAGGCTGAGCCATGCCATCCGATCAATTCAAATGAATTCAACTCCCCGTTCCCGCCTTCTCCATCGCTGGGTCTTTCTCCGCGTTAAATGTTGAATATCTTTTTTCCCAGTTGTCTGGTGTCCAGATTTGAGGATTGTGCGGTTAGGGCTCAATGCCAATACGTAGTCATTATGGCAGCATGTTCATGAAACTGTAGCGGGAAATGAATCCTCAAAATACGTAGTTCTGAAGGTCTTTGATATTGATGCCAATTTTACTGGACTCTCCTAGCTGAAAGTGTTCTGTCAGTCATCAGCACAAGATCACGGGTAATTACACCTTGCTGCACGTCCCTTGCAACTGTTGACTGGCTTATCTCAAATACTTCCCAATATATCAGGAGCCTTTCACATGTATCTTCCAACCACCTCATTTATGACTTCTGATTCGACTGAGTTGGCTTAATTCGTGTGAAGGCATTGTGAAACTCCGATTAACCGTGGCATCGCAAACCATTGGACTCCTCTTGTGTGTGCTTACATATGATAGTAAGAATATTTTTCGTCCTTATATTGTCTAGGTCTAGGCCTCCCAGAGCAGATCTAAAGGCTTTTACTCCGCGTCTAGAGTGATGGGATACAGCCACTCACACTTATTATATTTTATAGTGACGATGGAATAAACCTCGACTATCATCTCAGGCCATTCTTGAAACTGAAATTACCTTCAGAGAACTCGTGTTGTCCATTGTATACTGACGAAAAGTAATTAAGGTGAAACCGAGAACTTCATGGAGACTAAATAGTTCGGCTATTCAGGCGTAATAACTGTTTATATTAAATACGTTATCGCTAAGAGACAGGAATTTGTTCTTAGAGAATTCTTAAATTTTATACAGCCGATCGTCACGATATGGCGGACCATTCTGGTCAATGACGTGGTTTCGTCGTAAAATCAGTTGAATTAGCTAGTTACATTAAATCAAGTCAATAATCCTCAAAATTTAAAATTTAACACCTAAAGAATGTCGAAAATGGTAAATACGGAAACACATGTTTGGTATTTCATAGTCCATTCATGAAGGCGTGTTCACTCTGTCACTTATTCCACCGCGTATCAAATATATCGTTGCATCCACAGCCCAGATGTGTTCTTCAGGTGCAACCACAAGTTTTCACGTTGGGATGGGTCAGTATAGATTATAATGTGGCTTCCAGATAATTGGGCGGCCACATGATAGTAAAAACACTGTTTTGGTGCCTGGTGAATTATTTCAGTAAAATAGATGGGTATACTGATACTCATCTAGACCATAATTCTGCAAACCAGTACCAATGTTATTACTAAATCTACAGTTCAAGTTTTGACTACGATTGAACAAACTGGAATCGTACCGAAGCATTAAAATGAAATTTTTCAGCTAACGACGGCGAGAGGTCAGCGTACTTTATATTTGGCGTATTACTAACGAATTCTCTTTTAATTGAAAGCACATCGTCTTACGACTTATGGAATGCCAGATGGAAATGCTGTACAATTCCCCTATTTGACATTTAAACCATGAGATGATTAGACGATCATATTATTTGGTTCAGTCAATATAACTGGTGATAAACGTTGGAGAAATAGATGCTGCTTAATCAGAAGTGGTTCTTGATTAAGTTGTACTCTTTGTGAGCGGATATCGCAAGCGGATAATCGTTAAACCGTTTCTTATTCGTCCCACTAAAATGACCTTTAAAGTGCTCCAAAACAGTCTGTTCTAATTCTTGATGATGTAACTGAACTAAAACAATCTGAAAATTATGTTGTTGAGACGAACAATATAGGTATATGACTCCTGACGAAAAGCCTTCCAGCCACTCAACGTGTTCAGTGTAGATAACACAGTAGACAACTCATGCGGAGCGGCTTGAAAGGTGTCATCGACGAGGCGCTGAGGTTGTGATAGGTTATGAAGATGAACTGAGATGCTTCGACCAAAATTGGCAATGTTTCAATTAACTAGGATGTAATCTAATACCGTTTTACTATTGAGTAGACGGTGATTGAATTGCCTAGGAGACATTCCAAGAGATCTCAAGAAAGAAATCACGGGATTTGTACTTGAACAGTTGTTTATTGCACAGAACGTTGAAATACAGAAATGCTCAGTCAAACCAAACTTATCAATACATTGTATTAAATTGCTCATAATGAAATCAAGTCTTATCAGTGCTACAAATTTCGAGACTTACGATGTAGCCGGTTGATTCATTATCTACTTTCGGCCGCAGCATTATCCTTATCTCAAGTTTATGTTATTTTTAGTTATTACCGATTGCTTTCCTTAATAATAATGCATTTTGTAGGGTTACTGGGGCGTCTGGTCACTTATTTTTCGTTATTCCGTTTTCCAGATCTCCATACTGACGCTACTCTCCATGCTCCTCCAGCACAAAATGCATCTTCTGGCTAGATCCAAACCTGCTCAAGTGGGAGTCGATTGACATTTCTTCCTTAAATCGATTGGATAAGTAACTTTCTCCATGACAGGAGACAAAGGGTAAGGGTTAATGGCGCTCTCTTCTCGTGGGTACCTGTAAAATGTGGGGTTCCCTAAGGTACAATCCTGGGTCCTCTTCTCTTTTTACTTTATGTCAACTTATGATGTTTCGAATTGTTTGAATTATAGCACGAACTAAGAATCCAAGAAATAACGCAATTGAATTAAGAAGACACAGGCACAACCGAATGTACTGTATTTGGAATTCAAAATTGTGCAATCAACATGTACAAAAGTATCATTAGTCAATTCAAACACCACACAACTGTAGCAAAATCATCCGTTCTACTCTTCGCTGATGACATAAAGATTTGGAGACCCATACATAGTATGTCGGATAGAATAGTATTACAGGACGATCTTAGCTCACTGGTGGCATGGTTAGATAGGTGGTAACTAGAAGTAAATCCTAATAAGAGTGCAGTGATGCAGTTAAATAACTCTGATGAATCGTATGACTATACACTACGTGAATTCGTACTACCCAAAGCAAGAAACTATAAAGATTTAGGAGTCATATTAAGCAATGATCTCAAAACGACTAGTCACTGTAAGGCTGCTGCTGCAAAAGGCTATAGGGTATTATGGTCAATTCGTAGGTCTTTCCAGTATTCAGATGATGAAATGTTTAGATTACTATACCCGATTTATGTGCGACCACATTTAGAATACGCGATTCAAACAGCATGTCCTTGTTTCAAATATGAAGCAGATATGCTAGAAAGAGTCCAACGACGAGCTACTAAGACGGTACAAAGTCTATCTGGCCTATCTTATGAAGACAGACTGAGACACCTCAACTTATCTCCGTTATCTTACCATAGAATACTGGGTGATCTAATATTGGCCTATCGTATACTGAACGATGACGTTGGTATTAACATGTCATATCTTTTGCTTCCGTCTAGAACCGATCATTTAAGAGGACATTCGAAGAAAGTTCAAAAGCCGAGATCGAACCGTTTACGTCTGGAGTTCCATTTCTCGCACCGAGTAGTGAATTACTAGAATTCTCTACCGGAACATGTAATATCAGCACCGTCTGTTAACATATTCAAAACGAGATTGGACCTTCACAGTATTACAAACTGCAAGGATTAATATAGAACGACAGACCTCCTATCCTTATTACTGAAGACTGAATTGTTTTTCCATGCTAAAAAGTTACCACATGTGTCCTTGAGCTGAAACGACATAATGAATTTGTAAACTACTGTTACTTGATAATGTTGTCCACTAGATATAAGGAGTAAGTCGTTTCATGTTAGGTGTTTGATAACTAAGTTGCGAAGACACAAACATGGAATATGATGCTGGGAAGGGGTTCAGTTTGTTAACAAATACCATTATTTAGATTAGAGACTAGTTTTCACTTGATTTTAGACTAATACGGAAGGTATGAGGTGATATACACATATGGTGTCCTTAATAAAACAAAAAAGTTTTTTTTAGTTTAAATTAATGAATTCAATCATAACAGTGTGTTTATTTTTATGTGACTGACACTTAAGTTCCAGTTGTTGATATGTCAACAGAAATATAATTCCATTTTTTAATCTGAACACAAACCACCGTTATTGATAGCTTCAAAGTTCATGTATTTCTAGGAGCGGTAGGTGAAGATAATCATTTCTCTGTTTGTTCTACACTACAAAATTCGTGAGGGATAATTCAGTAGCTTCTCGGAAACCAGGAAAACTATTATCGGGACTAACATGCAATAACCATATGCGTTAGTACGCAGTCACCGATTCTGATGTAAAAGCCATTTCCAGCAAGTGATTGATTAATCCTAGGTCATTGAAACTCCAAACATAGAAACCCTCAAGATGTCACAACTGATAAATGTGTTTATAATATTTCGATAATTTTCCTGAAATACTCTTTGACATTTTAGTTGCACCGCTTTTAATCCAAACCTTTCGTAAGGGTTGTCGCGGCACATCACTTTGATGTGATAACGTGACTTGATTCGACGCGCAATTCACCTTCTCATTTAGTTTTCGTTGTTTTTGAGATTGATTTATTGTGTATCACTGCAATTGGAATGCATTTACATCAACCGGCCTGATTTGCATCTGTACATGGCAACAATGAGTTCAATGAATTACTTCGTTGTTTGTTTTATGATTACCAATCTAGATCCCAAACTACGAATTCCAATGAGTTATAATGTAGAGTCCGAAGTAAACTGTTTCCTACCACTCTTAATCCGCTTCTGTCATACATCTTTGTACTTCAGCGAATCGGTTTTACTGTATTTATGTTTACGTATCTCTTTCCTGTATGTATTGAAGTCCTCGCTCTTTTCTCACTTAGATTTTTTACCCTTTTGCCTTTATAAACCAAATCCATAGTCAGAAATTTGTGTGTTCCATTAATCTGTTTCAATGGTAGTTGCGTATTTTATGTACACTAGTATTAACAAAGGTCTTTTTGTCACACTTGTGAATTGTTTTGTGTCGTCAGTTTGCTAAGTAGTAACATTTTTAAGGGCTCATGCTTAATACAAGCAGTCTGGTCAATTTATAGATGTTGACAATATGATCTATTCAACTTAATGTTGAAGCGTTCATTGGATAGCATAATGATTATGTGGCGAAATGTCAAGTAATCAATACTGTTGTAAACGTATGTTAACTAAGTTGACTGGATTATATGCTAAACCTAAATAGCCACAAACGTTTGTGGTATGTGGAGTTTAGTATTGGAATGTTCAAGCCTAAAGATGAATCACACCACTGCGGTCACAAACTATGTTTGATCATTCAGGAGCTACAAGTTGGTAGCTTGGGTTAATAGGGCTTCAGTGGTTGCAGGTTCAAAATTTTGAACCAAAGCTTTACAATAACTATACTGGAACAAATATACTCACTTGCATATTTTTACGACAGTATCAAATACATTTTTACTCCATGTCTATCCAAAGTTATCACTTCCTTCCTTCGAGAAGTTAAAGAACCTTTACGGTGTTGTGTGAAATGTAAATGTTTCTCTTTGTTTATAACCTATTATATAACCTATTATTATATTATCAGAAAGCCTATCTAGACAAACAAACAAACGTAAAATACTAATTTCACAGAGCTTAGCTGTTTGCTTGTCAACATTGTCAGTATTTAAATCCATTTTTTTATTAAAACCGTTAAACTAATTCATATATTTTTGTTACGTTCCAATGAGTAGAAAAATAGTATTTTTGACGCTTTGCGACTCAGCGTAAAACACTTTGCTCTGAAGAACTGGCTTACATTAAGTCACGAAATGTCAGAAACGCAATTTTTTACTCACTTTGATAAGAAATATATTTATTATTTACTTTCTATCCAATGCTCAATTTACTTGAGAGTATCAAGTACAACCTTGGCATCGATACCTATAAACTCAAACTATTTCGGACAAAGCAAAATGTGCGTGATCGAATTTTATTGGTATTTCATGTCCTTAATCCGAAGTCTCGATTTCACTAAAAATTAGTAGAAGTGAACTCATAATTCTTGATCGCTGATCGGTGTTGATCATATCACTTTTTAACGGCCACTATATTTTAGCCATTCATCTTTGTGCCTGAATGTGGTCAAAAATAAATGTTTGAGTCTTAGACAGAACGTATCGTAATCTGATAACTGTTTTGTCATAGAAACACAAATAATTTTGGTCTCAAATATCAGCGTATTCATTTGGAATTTAGCATCAATTTACCATCAGCCAATATTCATTGGTAAATACTTGGATTCCGCATAAAGTCGCCACACAATCTTTTAGCGAAACCTACTTTCTCCAATATTTAGCTTGAAGCCCAGACATTAAGCAAAATGTTCTCATGTTAATATGAAATCTATAAGGCAGTTGACTTTCTGTATTTGAGTAAGTGAGAAGTTAGCGAGGATGAATTTCATATTACCAATTAAATATGATCTATGAGTTGTTTTAATCATTTATTGAAAACTCTCTTTAGGTCCTCTAAATCCATTGGTCAATTTTCTGTGGATTCACATAGACCCAAAATAACGAAATCATGGAGTTTACGGGATAGTTTTTTTGGTTTGAGACGTGGTCGAGGGTCGATTTCGGATACTCATGAATGGCAGTATATTGCCCCAAAGCTGTATCAGTTAGAAGATCAGTTTCATCATCCAGCTTCAAAATGTGATGTTTGGCGTTCTCTTTGCCCTCAAGAGTTACCTAGTGCAGCTGTTTATCCTACAATATCTGTTCATAGTTTGTCTAATAAAGTCTTTGCTTCCTCTACAGGCCCCAAAAAGGGCTTGTTAGCGGTGAAAAAGTGGCATAGGTCAAAGGACAGCCACAATGTATGTAAGTGTTTGTAGTCGTCGTATCTCATAGTTGCTTAAAACATTTGTACAATATTAAAGGTGTTTTCCAATGTGATAATGCACTCTTAGATTTGATTATACAAACGTTCGTAATAGATCTAGTATCCGTTTCGTGCTCGCTACAAGACGCCAAAATGAATAAAGGATGAAAATTACTTTAGAACAAAACTTCAACTCAATGCCTTGATTTCAGTGATATAATTCAAAGAAAAATTGCTATAAGCTGTAGTAGAAAACTACTTAGATTGAAAATTTGAATCTGTTCACATAAATTGTAAAACAGGTGTAGTAGGATAAAAGAGAAGCATTTCTAGTAATTTCACATTTTTCCTAGGTCTACCTTTAAATATCTGATTAATCAGTTTGTCACTAAGTTCATCAGGTTTTATCTTGCGAGCCATTTGAACAAGTAATATGTTTATCCGATAAGTTTTAGCGTATACATAACTGTGATAAAAATCTAAAATGAAAAATTAGTATTCACATCGTGCTCTGACGCTATCTGCAGTCACTTGGCAAAATGGAATCAAAGCGACATAATTTGTACTTGAGTACTTTTGAATTTTTGTGTTGCACAGAACGATTCTTCGGTCAGTCCTAAAACCCAAACGGATTTGAGAATCTTAAATAACGCTTAAAAAGCAGATAAATTTACTATATACCCAGATTGTGACAGAGAGAGTTATTGCATGCGTTAATGTCATAAATTGTGGGAGACATAAATCTTAATAACCAACTATTTTTCATTAGATTTGTTCAACAAATTGTGCATTAAAAATGTTTGATCTTGAGGTATTGAAATATTCCGATTATAACAAGTTAAACTTAATCGCTTATCCAGTTTCATTTTTACTTTCGTCATATATAAAGTACTTCAGCAACAGACTTCTTCTTGTACTGAGGTTAAAAAAACTAGGTGGGGGACTATCAGCACGAGACTGGATGTAAAGTTATTCATAGAATAACTTTTATATTCTATGATCAAATAGTCGAAACTAATGAACGTAACTGGGTACAGTATCTATGTAACTTCAAGAAACAACAATTGGAAAGATAGATCAGTAATTTTGAGTTTGACACTTGGTATATAGGGATTCGAAATCAACTTCACTGGAACGTTACAGTAAAGTATATTCATATAAATAAGTTTCAGCTTGCGTGAAACTTAAAAGGCTGATTTTAACGAGTACGTAAATTGTCTTTACTTTTGATACTATAAAGAACAGCCTTATAATTAAATGTAGATATATTTCAAGCGATTTCCGACAGTTAAAGATTTTTTGAACACCAGTCTACTATATCAACTTATATTTATTTCTTGTATGTTACTTAAAGACCAACAGACAATTTTGGTACCATATGTATATCATTTTTCACTTTCTACAGACCATTCCAACTACTGGAAGACAATAGAGAATCGAAAAGCACATGGGATATCTGTTTCTCTATACGAGAAAAATATATTTACTGGAAAACCAAATGGTACGTAAAATATTTTTGACTAAAGCATCGTAAAGATTCTTAGTCTTATCCCTACCACTTTTTGTCTGAGAACTCATTAACACTTGCTTACAGGGGGTCATGTAATTTATGAAAATCAAAGTCGATTTCCACAAAACCGTTTACAAGTACCTTAGTTCATCTCCAACCCTTTCTCTGTTCAGACTTAGATCGAAAGTAACTGTAGAGAGGCTCCAGACGATTACGTATTTTGGTACCTTAATATGACTGTATAGTGTTGTGAAATCATAGGTTGAGGATATAGAATACTTTAATTGTTGCTATAATAGTCAAATCATCTGTCTACTGTTAAATATTTTAAATCATGTTTTATTTTTGCAACGTTGAGATATTAGCCCACTTTTGAAATTTAAATGAATTGCGAAATCTATAAATTATTTCTGCGCAATAAATTGATGCTTCATCATTACTTCTGTGCAGATTAATTACTTTATCAACTAGGGACTTCCAATCAACCGCAAAAGTTCACACCAGGAACAAATCAACTGATTATGACACCATCTAAGAGTTGAACTTCTGTTTATATTAAGAAGCTTTATTTAGTTATGAGTATTGTTATTACTAACGTCACAGTCGTATGGTTATGAGAAAACTATCATTCCTAGATAATAATATGATGTCTGTAGCAGGTTGTGTCTAGCTAGAAGATATTTTATGTACTAAGGGAACATTGAAAGTAGAGTCAGTGGGGAGATCTTCAAAAGGGAATAACAAAGAAAAAGGTGACCCGAAGACCAAGCAACCTCACAAAATGCATTTCTAATACGAACAATAACTAAAACTAGCATTAACCTCAGATAAGGACAGTCTTGAAATAGAAACTAGAAGCAGATAGCAAAGAGATTTCAAGTCGTCATATGTCTCACCGTTTAGAGAAAGTCATTGAAAAGTTTATTATTCTACTGCTCAATATAATATTTCATTATGACAATTAGAATAAGATGAAGACATTTCATACCCACAATGTCACTGAATCATAATTATTATGGTTATTCTATTTTTTATTGAGTACTGAGAAGGAATACTTAGTATTGGTGTATCTCAAAAACTTTCTCGTGATTACTATTATTAATACTAAGGTCAGATCATCTTAAAACACACAACGGGGGTTTGCTTATCAGTTTGTTAGTTTATTATAAATAAATACTTCAGGTCAACTAGGTTTTCCGTTATACATTATGTGTGTGTTAAAAATGGTCATTCTTCTTAACTTATTTACTTTGCTATTTGTGATTTTTTTGATAATAATTAATCAATGTTTTTTTTATCATAATTTATATTTAATTGAATGATCATCCAGCTATATTTGAATGGGGATCCAGAAGACTTTTGTTTGTTCTTAATTAATTTTTGAGCCTGAACCCTGGGACGCAGGCAAATCGAGCTGAAGAGTCCCATGTAGGACGAAACACGCGCCCCGGATTCCCCTGCTAGCCAACATACATTTGTGTTTTTAAACTTACATCTCTTGGTATTCTTCGTACATTAAGATTAGCTATGTTTAGTCTTTTCCTTCTGAAACCCAATTAAGAGCCTATTTAAATTACTCCCAACAATTTGACAAACAAGATTCATCAGAGAATGTCATACTGTTAATTAGCTTCAGTTCGACAGAAAAAAAAACTTGAGAACGAGTGTCTCATTTTTATTGGAAAGTTGGATTTTATCCAATTCAGTACCTGAGTAACTTAAAATTTCTGTATATTTTGTCTGTAAAGCCTTTTGTTTCATTTATGTTGAATATTCGCGGGCTTATTTGATTATTGACATACAATTCAGCGGTTGAGGAAGTGGTAATATGTAGCTAGCTTTTAAAATCAAAGGACACAATCATTTTTAATACGCTTAACAAATTCTTCTCTATTTTCCTGTATTTTCATATAATTAAACAAACACCAACGTGTTGTATGAAGTTTGATTTTTGTTTAGTACACCTGCATTGTTGACTATTTATATTTTTGGTGCCAAATTTATTTTTGTTTATTCTCTTATACTTGTTTATCAGCATGTCACCATTTCAGTACATATTTACTATCTTCTAGAGGTAGGCTAGTTTCGTCTTATGTAGTGTGCAAAGTTAATTGTTTAGTTACACTCCATAACAAAACATGCATACATAGATCTTATTTTGTTCTAAACTATTCTTTTAACCATATTTATCACATCTTAAACGATTATGTAGTGTGATACAAAATAATTTAAGAAAAATCGTGTCTAAGTAAAAATTCTATCATATTAAAAAGATAAATAACACACATTGGTATTATTTTCACATAATTTTTTGATTTAATTATGAATTTAAAGATTAAACAACTGATTAATTCAAATAAAACCTACTGAAATACAACTCAGTAGCATTAAATGTTCATTGTTGAAATGGATTTCTCATCAAGTTACTAAATGGTTAAATAAAGTCTGACATATATTTTAAATAATTTAATAGTTGAATTCATGAGCCGATTCAAGCTAGACTATCATTAAAAACTTGAAAGTACTGGACGGCAGTTTCGTCCTAGTGTGGGACTCCTCAGCAGTATGTCCACGACCTCGTACGCGAGACCCGAACCCAAGAGCTTCAGTCTCGCGCGCGAACGCCTAACATCTAGACCACTGAGCTAGCCGGTATCACATGGTGTTAATGTCTAACTTCAACAAATCCACGATATTGCGCAACCGTTCACCACTGTCTTCATTAAGTAACTGCCTCGTAACAGAAGCGGTTGAGCTCAATTGGTCACGGCTTCTCACTAGAACTCCAGGAAGTGCCTCTTGAAGCCAGTCATTAGTGAGCATGTGATGATTATCAGAATGGGGGATTTTGTCTGGATCCAACCATGAACTTACTACAATCTCCACAAAACCCCATTCTGAGAATATATTTTAGGCTCAAAAGGCTAAATATTTCTGATCAATTAAAAAAAAACTGTTTACACCACGACTATTAATTTGTCAAACCAATGGTAAATGGAATAATTAATTTTACAGTAAATAGCATGTTTAAAATTTAAATAAACTGATTCGTGAATTGCTCAAGTGTATGATTCATACTCTAAGTGCTAGTGGTAATGATACTACTCAGTTGCCTAGGCCGAAGTAGATGAAACAGGGTTCTAACCTGGGACTTAGTGGCTGAATTTCGAATGCTTTAATCACTAACCCACCACAATTCAAATGTATAAGCTAACAACTCGTCACTGAAATTAATTAGTGAATTAAGATTAATTTAAAATACTTATTAACGTGACAGAAAACTGCTTGGATGTGTAACGAAAAAGTGTAGTTATTAGAATTAACCCCTAACTTTACAATGGCACCCATATTCCTTGCAAAGTTTAACTTCTAAGGAACATTAGTTAGCTGCAATAAAAACGCTATTTACTACATACACTATTTCAAATAACAGGCTAACCAACCGGTAATTATTGGAAGATATTTTAACTCCATTCTTCTAAATCGTTTCAGTTCTAAAACTTCAAGTTTTTAATTTATTATTTCTGGTTGGTTGCTTCATCCTTGTTTACTTATACTAACTGACACCAGATAAGTCACCAATATTATATCAGCCTATTGACTACAAAAAATTGTGTATGGAAAAGATTTGTAGAAGACTTCCATAAATTGTAAGCACTGATACTGTTTACAATGACAATGAAAGCTTTTCAAGCAAACCACCTAACACAGAGAAAAGAATTCAAATAAAATTCCTGTTTGTTCATGTTTCTTAACGATATTAGCTCTTCCTATCTTATTCGTATCACTGAACTGCAAAAGGTGATTTTTACCGACTGTATTCGTAAGAGAAAGAATATTTTTTGCTCACTGCCATCTCACTCACCATAGTAGTTAAACCTGTCAAACTTCAAAACTATTTGTTAATAAATATGTTTTATGTTTTATTTAATTTCTAGGTGGTCCCATTGCTGATGCATTTGTTGTACGAGCTCGACATGATTCTGCCTATTTAGCTGTGGCAGATGGTGTAAATTGGGGCAACGAATCAATGAAAGCTGCTAGATCGGCAATTTCAGCTATTTACACTTATTTAGAATCGCATTTATTTGGTTGTATGAAAGAGAAACACAACGTAAAAGACACAAGAGTAAGAATTTGTATTATTTATTTAAAATCAATATGTACAACAGTTTCAGTATTATGAGTACAGAAATATTTATTGAGATTTATTGTTTACACGTTTAAGTGGATATAAATCTTTTGGTGATATTGACATATGTAGTCTCAAGTTAAAATATAAACGCTACTTTTTGTCGATAATATACACTTTGAGAAATCCGTTTAACGAAAGAAATGTAACTAAATAAAATACATTTGACGGAAAGCCAGATCACTTTATTCTTCCAGAAACATTGAGTAATACTGGGAAACAGTTTACAATTTGAACAGCTGAAGAGATTTTTATGTGCTGTCTTATTTAAGTGATGACAGGTCATATTCAGTAACGGTAGTGATAAAATATAGGTTGTAAATGAAGCACAAAACATAACGTTCTAAGTTTCTGTTACTAAACCAGCATATAAATACTTCACAACTTAAATTTCATGTTTCTTTTAAAGCTCACTATCATAGTGTTTTTGTAACCGTTGAGAAAATCACGTTCGTATGGAAGTCACATATTTAAACCGAAAGTAACTCAAAAATGGATTGATGTATACTTTGGGTTACCTTTCCTTAAGACCAGATGTCTACAGATTGACGATTATTAATTCTAAAACGAGAACCTGAAAATTTCACAAGAAGTAAAGAGGTTTTAGTTGTCGAGTTACATTACGGTGAAAGTTTCTACTTAACTTTTTAGTTTTCAAGGAGATAAACCATTATTTTTTAACAAACCGGTTAAATACTTATTTCATCTACATATTGCAGGGGTATATTGTAAGCTGGTTAAATCATCAATAGAATTCACGTTTAACGTGGACGATGCTGTGTTCGAGTCTCGATGTGACCATCAACACTAGAGTGCAAGTTTATCAAGCTGACCAGTTATAACTAAGACGAAACAGGCTCACTGGATTTTAATACTAGTCACAATCCATATTTTTTCTGAAATATATTATTAAATAGTTATATCATAGAAATACACACAGGATCCACGTATGCCTACAAAGACTGATTGTAATTTAAATCTAGACAGCAATAGAATTATTCAAGTCCTTACTTATAAATAGTATCTAGTTCACTTTCACTGCTAATGTGTTCACTTTTCTTATTGTGATTGCATTACAGGATGCGGCCCAATTATTATTTGAGGCTTTTTCTTTTGCCCAAGAGGAAATTGTATCCGTTACCACTGGTCTTACTACTCTTTGCGTTGCACTGATTTTACCGGTACTAACAACTACAACCTATGAATCACATGGATTAACAAATGAACAAACTTCAGCATGTGGCAAAGCTCAATTTTCTGTTATAATAGCAAGCGTTGGTGATTGTCAAGCATTTCTTTTAAGTAAATTCCATGGTATACGTGAAATAACCGGTTGGGTAAGAACATCTGTCTTGTCGTCTGATAATTTATCAACACAATCAAATGAACAAAACAAATTGGAGAAAATACTTGGACCACCTGTACGGGATTTTCGAGATACTGGTGGTGCATTGGGTGCTGTGTATAAAAATGGCAATCCAGAATTAAACAATCTTATATGTGCTGGTAAGTACCCATTATTTATTGTGTTTTTATAATATTTTAATATCAAAATCTTATCATAAATTATGTCAAAAGCTTCATATAATAATAAACCTACAAACGTAAACGATATAGAATTAGCTACAACTGTGTATCAGTTTAATTTGTCAAGTTTTATATTTTGTCACAGTCGAAGATAAAACAATAATAAATGGATGAAATTTATCAGAAGTAGTTTGTGGAGATTTTAGAAATTTTCACAGATTTAAATCATGAGTCAGTTGAAGCTAGACCACCATTGAAAACCTGGAAGCACTGGACGGTCGTTTCGTCCTAGTATGGAACTCCTCAGCAGTGCGCATCCACGATCCCGCACCACGCGGGGCTCGAACCCAGGACCTACTGGCTTCGCGCCAGAATAATTCTGTCCACAAGAATTTAAGGTAGATGAAAGATGAATACATCTAAATTACTGCAACTGAATTTGATCAATAAGATATCATGATCTGATTGGCTTTAGGTTCATTTCAGCTTACATTTATTATAATTGACATTACATACGAGATACATATTTTAATTACTTCGTTTGATAAGAGTTTACAAATCCATCAAATGATTTAACGGACAGTTATACTGCTCGTAACCTGGATAAATAAATATGTTTATATTTTGCAAGTCTAAAATGTTTTATTTAAGTTCATTTAAGTTCGATCAATTTCATTATCCATTGTTTGTTTAGTTTTTTTGCGCGACAATTACTTTAAGTTTTCAGCTGAATAAGTACATATGAAACAACAAACCTATAAATACTTTCACTAAAATTTAAGACATTAAGTAAACTGACTCATGATTTCAACTGACTCATGATTTCAATCTGTGAAATTTCTAAAATCTCCACAAAACCCATTCTGATAATAATCAACTGCTCACTAGTGACTGACTTCAGGAAAAACTCCTGAAGTTCTAGTGCGAAGCCGTTACCAGTGGAGTTCAACCAGGTCTGTTGTGAGATGGGAACTCACTGAAGACAATGGTGTACAGTGGTGCAACTTCGTGGATTGGTTGAAGTTAGACATTAACACCGTTGGATACCGGCTCAGTGGTCTAGTGGTTAAGTGCTCGCGCGCGAAGCCAGCAGGTCCTGGGTTCGAGCCCCGCGTGGTGCGGGATCGTGGATGCGCACTGCTGAGGATTCCTATACTAGGACGAGACTGCCGTCCAGTGCTTCCAGGTTTTCAATGGTGGTCTAGCTTCAACTGACTCATGATTTCAATCTGTGAAATTAAGTAAACTGATAGAGAAATCGACAGTATTCCAAGTTTAATGAAAGAAAAAAATAGTTCTCAAGTTCCTAGCAGGTTGACTTGTGGATTATTTTGTGCATTTCAGAATTCTTTAGAAAAATTAACAAATTCATAAATTTTGGGTTCACTTACCAATTAAACATCATAGTCACGTCATTAAATAGTGACTTAAATTCAGTCAGAAGGCTTGATATTCATGTCTTTAATTATGTATTTGTTATTGGTACTATGATGAACTTTTAGTAATAAGCAGTCTAAAGATATGACAACATGACATCCCTTCAGTCATAGGTGAATCAAACAGCTTATTAAGGCAACTTAATTTTAAAAGTTGATACTGACCATCACGGGAATTCAAAGGGGGTACTTTTGTTTTTTGAATAAATTCAACTAATGTTTCCGTACTAAGGAAGACTAGAACCTTACTTTGATCTAAATTCAAATTACATCTGTTCATTAGAATGTTATCTAGGATTTTATTTATTTCATTCGATTTTGAATCGTCCATTTTTTTGCTTCAGGTCTACTTTATTGTCTATTTCTTAAATGTTATCATATTCAGTGGATTTTATTATTTCCATCTCCTTTAAAAGTTGAACAATTATCTAATAAAATCAAATAAAGCATTAAATGATGTACATCGTTTTTCTTTATGATTAATTAAATATAAGTACGTCCTTTTATTATTCACCATCGGTATACATTAGATAGACTGAAGTATCAGTGAGTAATCACAAACTTACATTTTTTATTGTATTTTACGTAACTTATGATTGCCTGTTTAAGATTAATCTTTAAATGAATTACTTAACTTAAGAATACATTATTTATGATGAAAATTTTTAGTGTTTTGTTTGTTTAACTACAAGTTAGTTGGTGTAATAAGCAGTAATTGGAAAATAAACATTCTATTACTCATTTGTTTTCTTGTTCATTGATCCGTGTGTAATCGATTATTTAATCACTGAGGTATATAAATTGACTTTTAAAATTCTAAGGGAAAGTAACTTCCTGGCTTGAAATGACTCCTTTGTATGTGTACGTTTGTATCTTTCAACAAAAGTAAAATGGTAGAGATGACAATTCGGTTGATAAGACTATTAATCTTTGTTATTCGAAGTGGTTAGGTCGTATGTTCCCTATATCTACTAATCTTTTATCCTGACGTTTAGTGTTGATTATCACTGGAGTAGGTTGGAGAAGACTTAGAGTGGAAAAAACTAAGATATGAAGTTAGTTCACAAAGTCATCAACTGTTAAACTTAATCGTATCTGTAGGAACGGAATAGACGATTGATATTCTTGCTATAATTAAAACCCAAGATTAGTGATCTTAAGTGGAAGACGTATTCATTCCCTATCTTTCTCGAATTTTTGAGCTATATTATTGTCCTACATTTAATACTTTTTTTTCACTTTCATTAATTTCTTGCGGACTATAATCTTCATAATTGCAATTTTCCTATTAACTGTACTCTTATTAATTCAACCTACTTGACTTTTATCGTGACGAGTTCCTATTGTGCTTCCAATCTGAAGTTTGGCAACTTTGGTCGAATATACATTAGTTCAAGATCTTCGATTGGGTATAATTGATTAATTCGTAATTTGAATATATAATACTGACAGATAGGATTATTTTGATTGTAACTAAAGAATCTCTTTCTAAAATTCACTTTATCTCTCTACAGCTTACGCGATAAAAATTATTGAAATATAAATTCTTGTCTGTATCATATAATTCAATAAATAAAGTTTTATGTTAAAATTGACCTACATCTCACTTGTTAACTAAAGAATTCATAATTACAAATATGTATGAAGAACACATCATATTCTAAGTCAAATAATAATTAAATTTATGCGAAAAAAAGTGAAGATAATTTCGCAAATGAAGAAGCTTCTCTGAATCTCTGTTATGTGAGGTCTATAACATGGAATGCTATTTAATTGGATAAAAAAATTGAATCAGTACCCTTCTGTGATAATCTCCATTAACAGCTGTGGACTTTAACGCAGTTGTAGTACTAAGCACATAGAAAAGACCGAAATAACATTTTTTTTTCAATATTTTCCTTGCAACCAATTTATCAAGGGAATAAGTGTTCATTAGTTCTATCATTGAACATTCAACAGATAGTGGAGATAAGATGCATATCATAAAGACATTCAAATCAATTAGTAACAAACTTCCCATTTAGTCTCCTCATTGTCATCAAGCTCTTTTGACCTGACCTATGTACACAGAAAGTAAGTTTGATAAACTTCTACTTCTCACATCGACATAGATATAATGTATAACCTCATCTATTACAGACATTTTTTTATCCTGGAACTTCTAATAATTACAGGCTTACAACTACGTTTTGATCTTGTCTTTTAAATACTTTATTTATTACTGGTTATAATTTTATATGTGAACTAACAGATGACTGATACTGAAAAGTTTTATCATTTGCTTACCTGCTAAACTCTACTTTCAGTCTACTGAATTCGATTTCAAATTTTTAACCAATTATTTAACTTTTCTTATAAACTGAATTTCTCTCTTTCTACTAATTAACATAATTCTAAGCTTCTCTTAATGTAGGATAATTCAAACTTTTTCTTCCTTTTTTTTTCCAACTATTAACTATTCTAATTCACACACTTATTAATTTTCCTCTCCTTTTACTTATACAGACAATTAAATTATAAAAAAAAAACTTACTTCAAAGGTTTTTACTAATCAATTCGATGTGTTATGATGAATAAAGACATTTTTTCTCAACTTGATAAATGTTATTTGTTGTTGGTAACTATAGCGTTCAGTGTCATCATATACATATAGACAGCACACACATTACTTATAGTGACTTATTTATTATTTCTTTTCATTGTCTATGTTCTTTACTTTAAAAACAAGTTTTTCTATAGGCTTAGTCATTGATTGACGGAGAAAATGTAATTTTATTATGGCCAGTGAAACATATGTGTACCGTCCATGTATATGAATGTATATGCGATGTGTTGTGCTCTTTTAATCGATAATTCAAAGGTGATTTATTCATCTCATGAATTATTTGCAATAGGCCAATTTTCAGTTTATTACCTCTGTCAAGTTAATATTAATAGGCTTTGTTTACGTGGCATAGTTCTAATCTATAATTTATATCGACTAATCTGATCTTATTCCACTGGGATTCTCTGTTAATCAATTGGAAATTAAGGTGCTGTTAATTATATGACTCTTGGAATTTTTAGAAAATTAAATTTGCAGGAATCTCATTGATTGAACTGTACGTCAAGCCGACGTCTCGCCCGGCAATCTGTAAACAGTGTTGAAAGCGAGATATCTTGAAGTGTGTATAATACATTTGGTGTGGATAAAATGTAGAAAACAATTCAGCGATGACATTGTATATTCAATAGAGTCTGGCCATACGATCGCTTATAATGACATATAAATTCTACAAAAACGTTTTATTTCATACAAAGAGACATTAATAGCTGAAGTTCTACAGGTATGGGTGAATCCAAACAATACTAATAGAGGAAATGGAATATAATAACCTGTTCTGTGGTAAATAACTGTTAATAAGTGAATCTGAACTCCTTAATAACTTTCACTTCATTTAATCTGTTGCTTATTATGTGAACAACAACAGTTACTTCCATTTGTTCTAATTATTTCGTTTATTTGAATATATGATGTACAATAGGCTTGATTAGCACAATAACAATAGAGGAAGGTGGCAAGGCATTGCTTTACAACTGATTTCAGTTCATGTCAAAAACGCTAACCCTGTTCTGTAAACTTAACTCCAGCCAAACTCTTGGTAACCAACCCTAACCTTTTTGCATTATAATTAGTGTCAGTTAGTGGCGAAATTCTGTGTGGTAATTACCTTAACTGAAGACACTAGCCCGACTCATAATATATATATATATATATATATATATATATATATATATATATATATATATATATAAACTTGCCCTTTTTACTTTATTACAAGGGTTAATTTGATTTATAAGAGTTAGTTACTACAATCGAAGCTGTTATTTCACTATTATTTCATTACTTTGTTTTGTTATATTTTTTGTAACTTGTGGGAGTTTTCCGATTGGCTGATAAGTCACCCAAGGTCATCAATGCATTATGCTTTTACCAATTAGCATTAAGATATTTAATAATCATTACTCAATACCAGTTCTTATATAGTTACAATAAGATTATTTTATCCGAATGTAATCCATAATCCCCCACGTAAAAATTACTCACTGAAAATAAACACAGAAGAACTCATTTATAAATTGGTTGAAATAAATGACTAGATATTTTTTGAGGACAGACCATGGGTGAACTCGAGGAACCTGTAAGAGGCTCAGAAGGAGCCGAAGACATTCCATCCAATCATCTTTTGGAAGAATATTTTAGAATTCCTACGTGTAGCTTCCCGATTGGATAATGCTAATAACCCCCTGCATGCGGTTTGGAGGATTGTAGTGATAATTTCTTTCTTACTAAAAACTAGAAATATCTGACAATTTTGTACCATAATCGACACTTTCTAGAACAATGTTTCTTTCGCTAGTCTTCTGTCTTCTCATTGCGACTTGGATGGGTTCTGGCGTTCTGGTGCTCAAGTTATACGCGGTGTATCAAGTAAACAATCATCTAGATATAACATATTTCTTTAGCGTTTACTGTTAATAAATATTTTAATCATTACTATTCATTAAATAGTTAGATCGTGTGTTTTTGTCATTCATTTCTAATATACCGTAGAATATATGAAGTGTTTCTAATAAATGATTGATTTCCTGTTATAATTCCAAGTAAAATATGCAGTATTAAGAACTTTTAATTTCTCTATCTCACAGCAATAAAATTATCATTGAGGATATGCGAATATTATTGAATTTTATTCAGATCAGGCACTAATCTAAACTATACAAGCACTTGATAAGACTCCTTAGCAGCACACATTCACAACTCCACCGGGGATTGAAATAATGACCGTCAAGTCTTGTAACGGGCGTTCACTTTTAAACCAGTTCAGTCGTCTGAAAACATAGTGAGATTTCTTTTTGGAAAAATACAAGTACCTTTTCTTAATAAAAAATAGGGATTTTATAAAATTTTGTCACTTCTGGAATAAATTATCATTGTCATACTCTTGATTTTTACTTAGTGGTAGGTTTTACTTATCCTTATTGTATCCATTTATGTTAAACTCTATTCATTCTGTACTATGGAAACATACTTGATCCTTTGATAAATTTGAAGTAGAATGAAAGTAAAGTGAAACAAGGTTTGAAGGATAAATTGGATTGGTCATTCTATTTCAAGGTTTATCATCAGATGCAAACTGCTTAAGGTTGCGAAGAATAACATGATTGGAAACGAAAATGTGACATTTTCATAAATACATATTTCATTCAATTATATTTTTCTAGTGGGATCAAAGTTCACCTTTTATACACAGTGGTAGCTAGTTCTTTAACTGTATAAATTATTAAGTTTCCGAGAAAGACATAACTGAACGTAATGGGATATTCTAATCTAAAAAATAGTAATTTGTTAAATGTTTATTACCGCTCTAAAAATATCTTTTTATTGCTTGATTTTATTTCAGTAACACTTTGTGATCCAGGTGATATAGTTCTACTTGGATCAGATGGACTAATCGATAATTTCGATCCAGTTATTACACAACTAGCTGTTCCTGAATCACCGCATTTAGATTTTGTTGATGAAGAAAATGAACACGAAGGACAAGAAGGTGATGAAGAGGAAAGCTCATCCATTGATGATATAGGTATTCATGAAGTAAACAATAACAACAAAAATTCTGTCAAAAGTACTTCATCTTTATCTTCTGATTCTTTAAGGTGTAATTTTAATAAATCGCCAACTTCACCATTATGTCGTCCATCCAAATCATTGCTACATAATTCTCCTTTAACTCCACCACCTCGAGTAAGTATTTGGCCACAACCACCACCCCCACCAAGTGATCCAACAAAATTAACTTATACACCCGTTACAAATATCAATACTACTAACAGTAATAATAATAACAATAATACTAATGATAACAATGAAACTGAGACAATTTATGCACATCAAATTAACTTCACCAATCAACTTGAATTAAACTGGTATGAACGTAGAAAATATGCAGCGAAAGAATTAGAACGTGTGTGGCATGAATTAGATATTAGTACAGAGAATGCTAATAGTAAAAAAGGTACTTTTAGTTCCAAAGATTTATGCGAAGCACTAATTAATCATGCATACAGAATTACAACAAAACGACGTGAATGGTTAGAGAATCCGGATTATGCACATTTAAGACAAAATCAAAATGTAGTACAAGACAATAATAATAATAATAATAATAATAATAATAATAATAATAATAATAAACACTTTGATAATACTTATTCAACTGATTCACAAAGAAAATGGTTTAATGATATGCTTAGACGTATGCCTGGTAAATTAGATCATGCAACTGTAGTTGCCTATGAAGTTGGAGTTTATCGTGGTAATGAAAATGAAGTATATGAAGAGACAGCTCATCGGTTTCTAGCCGCAAATAATTCGAACTCTCCAACTAATCACTCAATTATAACACATTCAGAGCCATAATAATAATAATAATGAAGTAACTTAAGAAAAAGCACACTATACTTGTATATACAATAAGTGATCTCAGATATGAGATATTCCCATTTCCATTTATTTATTATTTGTTTTTTTTTTACTTATTTTGAAAGATAGTTCTTAATTTCTTTTTTTGTATAGATATATATGTACTTTCGGTGTTGTTTATCTTCTCGTCATATAAAAATAGGTTACTATGTTGAAAGGTGGTTATTATTTTTTACCAAATTATGAGTATTTATATCATTAGTAGCTTTTATCTATAAATATGAATAAGATCATACTATATAATATAAACAAAAATACATGTATATCCATACCTTCATTCAATGTCTCAATCCCGACATAAATCAATGTTGTTTTTTTCTTTTCTATAACTACGCTTATATAACCAGTCTACACTTTTCTCTTCATAAAAAGAATGAATATCTATTTAAATAAGAATCTTATGTTATTTATTTTTGTTATGTACAGTACATTGTAAGCTTTTATGCTAAATATTTTAAAAAGAATGAATGAATGAGCGAATTATTTATGTATTCTAGATTCATGTCTTCAAATCTAGGCTTATTTCGCATAATATTCATTGACCACCACTATATCTGTGCTCGTTTAGTACATTGTGTTCATAAATTAGTTCTTTGATTTTAAAATAAAGATGACAAACAATGGAATAGGAGTCTAGTTAGTCTAACTAGATAAATTAAAACTGAGTGAACGTTTTGAAGTTAACTTTGACTTGAATAACATAATATCTAAGTTTTACGTTAAAACAGTTTATGCATAGAAAAAGGATATTTTGTAAAGTTTTCATGTGCTAAGCTTATATTTAACTTCGTTAATTCCCTTATTTCCTAACGCAAGTTAAGTCAATAATTATATGCGCAGATCGGCGACATGTTTAAGTCGATAACGATAATCATATGATCGAATTGGAGTCAGATATTACAGGGCCACTGAAGAGATTTGAAAGTTGATCGAAGGTTCTGGGTTGAATTTCAACGTACAAGGTCAGGACTGTTCACTTCTGAAGAGTCATGTACTCTGAACAAACGGCCTTCCAGTGCTTCCAGGTGTTTTGATGGTTATCTAACTTTGGCCAGTTCATGATTTAAGTAAAACAACTTAGTTTGTTAGCTGTGGACGTTAATTAAACCTTGGGATAACTTATTGTCATCGATTGGGGTCAACTGGAAAGCAATTATAAACTATAGTATACTGAGCCGCTATTTCGTCTCTGTAAAGATCATTAAGAGGATTGCTGAGAAGTCAAAAACTGAGAAAAAAAAACATTTTATTGAACTCTGTTTTCTTCAAGCTTTCCCAACAGAAGTTGATCAATAAGGAAAATTTTTCGTTCCATTCAGCTACTGAGTCCTGATATACACTTGCTTGTTCAATGGGGTGAAGTTGAAATTCACTTGGTATTGTTTACTTGAATCTTCCAATTGATGTCTGGGACTGCACTTGATCCTTCTCTTATTCGCATATGTGCATACTATGCGTATTGCCTTAATTCACAAGCACTATAAGCTGACGAGTCCCGAATAGGACGGAACTCGCGTTCTGGATTCCACTTCTAGCCACTAACCATCTTTGATTATAATGCTTGTGAATTACGGCATTATCGAAGCAATAAGCACAGTATGCACATATGTCAATAAGAGACGGATTAATCGGAATCCTGAACATCAATGGGAAAATTCAAGTAAATAATACCATGTGTATAGGTAAATTCATTCTAAAAATTGTGGTGGACCAAAAACGTATTAACTCAAAAATAACAATAAAGTTATTACATCCAGATGTTAATATTATAGTATGCAAATTATAAGTTATAAACACAAATAAAAGTTAAGGGACGTTACTTATATCAGCAAATTTGTGCGTGTTTGATTGCGTTTGGTACCAGAATTCACAATTACAGATAATTCCAATGAGGTTGTTGTAGTTCTAGTAATATAGTCAAGTATAGAATATAATGGAAATGTAGCTGCAGTCTATAAATGTAGATGATAGGTGTTTCAGAGTTCAGTTATTGTAGCCACAAGCAACGAAGAACAAGAGATGTGTGTATAGTATTGTATTTACAAGCGGTTAACAACGTGTGTCATGCAAAGTGTTACACAACGGAAGAATGTATGTTCAAGGTCATACACTCAAAAAACATGTACAATCATTTTGTGGTAAATGTACAGACTGTAAAAATTAACAAAATAAATGCAAATAATATCAAAAACTATTTACAAAATAACTTTGTAATGCCTATCTTCACAAAATTACACCTAATTAATGCTCAAACACATCTTCATAATGTTTTTAACTATTTTAGACAAAAAGAATCTGAATTCCTTAAGTTAGACATGTGATATAGTTTAATCATTTTAAAACAAAAGTATCGAACTTCAACATTGTCAAACGATCACATACGAATTAAAACAAATGAACAAGCTATAGATGTCAGTCTAAAAGTGTAACATTACTTATTTAACTCTACCTATCAGAATGATTCATTAACAAGCTTTAAATCTCAAGGGGATTATTATTGATAAATGAAAACAATAACTTACTGTACATTAATCATTCTAAATTTTAATTTGCAATTTATGAATGGTTTAAAAATCTACATAAACTTAAACAACACAATATTTTCAGAAGGGGTTTTGTGGAGATTTTAGAAATTTTCACAGATTTAAATCATGAGTCAGTTGAAGCTAGACCACCATTGAAAACCTGGAAGCACTGGACGGCCGTTTCGTCCTAGTATAGGAATCCTCAGCAGTGCGCATCCACGATCCCGCACCACGCGGGGCTCGAACCCAGGACCTACTGGCTTTGCGCGCGAGCACTTAACCACTAGACCACTGAGCCGGTATCCAACAGTGTTAATGTCTAACTTCAACCAATCCACGAAGTCGCACTGCTGAGGAGTCCCATACTAGGACGAAACGGCCGTCCAGTGCTTCCAGGTTTTCAATGGTGGTCTAGCTTCAACTGACTCGTGATTTAAATCTGTGAAAATTTCTAAAATCTCCACAAAAAACCCCTTCTGATAATAATCATCTGCTCACTAGTGACTGACTTCAAGAGATACTCCTGGAGTTCTAGTGAGAAGCCGTTACCAGTGGAGTTCAACCAGGTCTGTTGTGAGATATCAGCTCACTGAAGACAATGGTGTACGGTGGTGCAACTTCGTGGATTGGTTGAAGTTAGACATTAACACCGTTGGATGCCGGCTCAGTGGTCTAGTGGTTAAGTGCTCGCGCGCAAAGCCAGTAGGTCCTGGGTTCGAGCCCCGCGTGTTGCGGGATCGTGGATGCGCACTGCTGAGGATTCCTATACTAGGACGAAACGGCCGTCCAGTGCTTCCAGTTTTTCAATGGTGGTCTAGCTTCAACTGACTCATGATTTAAATCTGTGAACATAATATTTACTGAAAACTGGATATAAACATAACAAATATACTTATGATCTTTGTTTTAGACTAAGTAATAGAACTAGCCTTTTATTTGATAGATTATGTTACTCTGGTAAGAGCAATTAAGCTATGTAATATTTGTTGGTGAAATTTTTTTTAAAAGTGTTTCTTTTTGTTGCATGCGACATATCTCATTAGAAATAAACATTAAAAGAAGTAGTTTAGATAAAAATCGATATTTAAGGTCAGTAATCCATTAACCGGAATTATGTATATTTTTACTTTTTTTTTTGATTACATAGATGAAAAGATAAAATACAATTCCAAGTTTCTAAATGATTCCCATTTTATTTCCTCTATTGATCAAATAAAACGTGGTTTAATTTAAAATTGATAGATTTGTGAAAATGTTAATCTACATAATGTTTATTGTTCCATTTAAAGTTTTTTTAAATAATAAAAAATGTTATTCGACTCTATGTATTTCAAGTTGAACCAGGTAACTGACCAAGATACTTGTTTTGTTTGCAGGAAATTTCTTTTCTATTTGCCAAAGAAATAATGTAGAGTAATTTCATCGTTAATTTCTGTATGATTACATCTTTCTCACTATGAAATAAAAAATAGTATTTTAAACACTTTCTCCAATTTATAGATCTTAATTCTATTTGTATTCTCCATTCAAGCTAAGACATTCATAGTTTATATTGATTTATGCATAAACATTACTAAGAGCATGGTCAAAAACTTACATGTGTTAAATGTTAATCCCGGATTTGTAAGATTTAGCTGTGAACAGCTCCAATAAATTATATATATATATATATATATATATATATATATATATATATATATAGAGAGAGAGAGAGAGAGAGAGAGAGAACTATACTGTGAACCAAAGTAATGATCTTTATTTAATACCACGAAAGTCGGAATCAAATAACAAGGATTAGAGAATTCGTCTTTAAACCTTATCTCAAATAATAATAAAAAGTTTTCATTACCATAGAATTAGTATAGTTTAATCCGTCTTAGAATTTCGCATTACAGAATCTGCATTATTCCCATTTACTGGACAACTTAGTGTTTATAAAAAGTCTTAAGAAACTTTACTGGTTGGTTTAATTCTTATCTAAGCTTATTGTAAATGAATTATAAAAGGTTAGTCATTTATGTATTCAGTTAAGAATTGTTTTGACATTCAGATATTTGGTATTGTTGAGTTCTCTGAGTTCGATTGTTTGATTTTTAAAGTTTTAATGTCGTTTTGGACAACATTACCAGAGCCTATTTCATGCCTCCAAGCTATACCTTCTTATTTCGTTCTAAATAATAGTTCAAATGATAAAATATCAGTAGTGTGTACTAATGGCTTATTAATATTACCTACCGGTCATCGACTTTTGAAATATAAAACCAAATAACACTAATGAGATGTGCTTACATCAGCAATCTGTAATAAAATATACTCCATATGTTATTAGGTTCGGAAAAATCCATAATTTTAACTGAAGAAGCACGGCGAAACAAAAGGATATAATTGACACCATTTGTTGCACAGAGTTAATAAAAATAATTCCGTAAAGATGAAGAACTTAGCGATTTGTTTGGGCAGTTGTTTCATTCAAATTTTATGATTTCTAGCAATGCGCACTCAAAATTCTCTTACAGCATCAAACACAAAAAAATCGAGTTTCAGTGTAAACACAATTTACTATAACCACTGAATTGTAATCTGCTAGTCATCATTTTCGAGTTCAAACTATTCCTAATATAACGCGATAATCATCAAATCCTCTCAGTACCTATTGACTTACATTTGTCATGTTTAGACTTCATCTGTCACGAACTTCCACTAAAACTTCAAGAGTCCGTCTTCAAAACTTGTAATTGTTGAACTCAGTTATTATTTGGTTGAATGATGTTTCAAAATAGGTCTTAACAGCTGTTCAAAATTTTCTAATTTTCAACAGTTCTCCAACTTTTGTTAATCCATAGCATCTGTTGAGAGATATTGCTTCATTTTTGTTATAGAAATCATTACCAACTGAATATAAAAATCATAATCTGAAATATCATGTTAACTAGGGAAACTCTGTGCTAACTCCACTCCTTTAACTACTCATATACCTAATAACAGTTATAACCGCATCAGTCAGTCAGTATCAACGTGGAACTTCGTACGTACGTACATCAGTTCGAGTT